GGGGTGAAAAAAGAGAGGGTTCACGTTGTCGGGTGACAGAACACCCGCTATCCGCCCTCGTGCTTGAGTGTCGAGTTACGGGAAGACTGTGCCGGCTATAGACGTCACTACACTCAAGAGAAGCGGCAGCCACCTGTGACATGACGTCATTAGTAGCAGTAGCCTTTGTGACATGACGTCATTACCTCCCTGAGTAACAGTATCCAGTGTGACATGACGTCATTACATCCCAGAGTAACAGTATCCAGTGTGACATGACGTCATTACATCCCAGAGTAACATCAGCCAGTGTGACATGACGTCATTACATCCCAGAGTAACTTCAGCCAGTGTGACATGACGTCACTACACTCCAGAGTAGCGCAGCCTTTGTGGCGTGATATCATTACTCAGTACATCCCAGAGCAGCAGTAGCCACTGTGACGTAATGTCACAACCTCTCAGAGTAACATCAGTCAGTATGACGTGCCGTCATTACATTTCAGAGCACCGATAGCCACTGTGATGTGTCGTCATTACATCCCAAAATAACATCAGCCACCGTGATATGACGTCGTTATACCCCAGATTAGCAGCAGCCGCAGCTGCATGAGGTCTTTACACAACAAAGTGGCAGCAGCCACTATGACATGACGTCATAACACGGTCTACTGGCAGTAGTTTAAGTTAGATGTCACTAGAAAGAATTTCCTCAAGAAACTCAACTCTTTCAGTAAGCATTTGGCTATTTAAGAACCTATGGTCTGACTGTTGTCTTGGAAACACAAGGCAAATAGTCTCTAATACCAGAAATTGCATCGCTAAGCTGGCACAATGCTGGAATAATATCAAGCAACACTAAACTTGGAGCAAAAACTATGGTGACTGTATTGGTGTTTATCTTTTAACCACTGCTCAGATACATGTAGACTGTTAGAACGAAATTATGTACATGACAGATTAGCACACAGACAGACAGAACGACAAACGGGTCGATATACAAATACACTGACACAAACACAGGCAGACAGGATGGTACACCGGTACACAAACAAACAGATACAAAGACAAATAGACAGACAAACAAACAGACAGTTAAACAAATAAACAGACAGGCAAACATATGGACAGACAGACAAACACCTCGGCTTGACTCTGGAATTTAGATAAAAACGAAAGAAAAACATGGCCGGGCTATGGGCAAAGAACTCTTGACTCTGGGCGCCATCAGCTGTTGGGATTACCTTTGATTGGTCGTTCACGGACCTGGGCGCCCAGCACTAGCCAGTTACCTCCCTTGTTACCGCTTTAAGTCCCCCCATAGACCCCGCCCCCTCCTCCCCGCCCCGCTCGTTTGTTACCTTTACCAGGACGGGTCCTCTAATGATGCTTGACAAGAGAGCCGTGACCTAGTCCCTCTCTAACTGAGCTATTCACGAGTCATTAATTAACGACACATGAGCCTAATTGCGGCGTGATTTTAGATTTATTGATACTCCTCATGCAAGCTTGTTTGGGATTTTTTCCGACATTTTGTGAGGGTGTGGTCGTTGGACAATTTGTAGGAGGGGG